ATTTGGGCAATCTGCCAGACAGAGAGCCAGCGCTGCAGGCTGGAGAACTGTTAACCGCTGGCCGAGGCATCAGCGAGGCCCGACTGGTGTATAAACCGGCGAAGCATGGGCAATATGCCAGGGGAACACAGCCTGCAGCAGTGCTGGCCACTAGGCCCAATTCAAAGGATGTCAGGAGGGAGGAGGGCGGTTTGAGGACAGCTGAGCCCAGGCTCCGAGTCCTCCCCGCCTCACCTGAACACGGCCATCTCCACACGCCTGCAAAGGCCCCTCAGCACAGCGAGGTGGCCCCAGGGTAGACAGGCAGTTCCATCAGGCAACCCTGGTCATCTGACCCGAGCCAAGCGTCATAAACATCAACCTCCTGACAATCAACATCCACTAGCCCAGGCCTCACAAAGGCGGGGCCATGGGAGGGAATGCTGTGGGAGGGGCCCGTAATCAGGCGACCCAGACATGGGTTCATGGGTATCCCCTCTGGCCCCACTCCAGTGGCAGCCAGAGGGGATAGAAGCTTCTTCAACATCCACCTCACGATAATCAACCTCCACCAGCCCAGGCCTCACAGAGGCGGGGCCATGCAGCCATCATCCTCACTTTAGCCTGAGAGGCACAGGATGGGGGAGGGCTCTCCGTGTCCACAGACTGCCTGCAGTTGACATGTCAAGCTTCATCCCTACAGAGGGAGTGACAATATGGCCACCATCAGGGCATAAGTAACCCTTACACCCCTGTTAGGGCATGCCGCCCTGCCCAGGGAAGGCCCGAAGGGAGGAATGGCACTCAATCGCCTGCCACCAGACCAATCAGGCAGCAGCGGCACCTGAGATAGGAGGCGGTGAGGCTGCATGACATCAATCTTGAGGTCCACTCTACTAGACAGGACCCCAGGAAGGGCTAGTTCCCACACCTGTCATGCTTCAATCAAGAGCTGAAGGGACCCATCTCACCCGACACTGTGCCCGGGGACCAGCAAGGGGCAGCCCAGGGACAGGGCGGCAACACTGGAGGAGAGGATGGAAGCTTCTTCAACATCCACCACCTGATAGCCAACCTCCACCGGCCCAGGCCTCATAGAGGCGGAGCCATGGGAGGGACGCTGTGGGAGGGGCCAGCAGTGAATCAGCAACAGGTGTGGGAGAGGACCCAGCCCATGGCCTGCCTATCTGGTGTCCACAGCAGTGGCAGACATTTTTTGGAGGCATGAGATGGGGGAGGGGTGGGAAATTTAAATGCTTTCAGAAAACCAAGCAGGGTCTCCCTAGTTCCTGTTGTCAACAAAGCAGTCCATGTACGTGTCAGCTTCTCTAGCCAGCACAGCATGCTATGGGCTGCTATCATGTGT